CCAAGGAGTTCAGAACTGAAGGCCTTGGCTATGGCAACCCAATGCTGTGCCTGACTCAGGGAAGGGGAACCTAGCTTCCTCTCTCTCCACTTCTGTTTGTTTGTTTGTTTGTTTGTTTGTTTGTTTGTTTGTTTGTTTGAGACAAGGTTTTTCTGTGTAGTCTTGGCTGTCCTGGATCTCCCTCTGTACACCAGATTGGCCTTGACCTCTCAGAGATCCGACTGCCTCTGCCTCCTGAGTTCTGAAATTAAAGGCGTGCGCCACCATGCCTGTCTATCTCTCTCCACTTCTGTAGCGCCATCTTGGTCCTGAGGTCAGGCCTGTGGACCAGAGAACTTCAGAGAGAACTGGCTCAGAAAGGAAGCTGCGGGAAGCTGTTCGCAGGGAGGGTCCCAGTCACTGAGCACCCCAACTTTTGAGGCTCGAGGAATATCTTGGCCTTAGAATGCGGCCCCACAGGGCTGGCGTGACCATCTGCTCCTAGAACAGGATCTCAGAGCTGGAATGGAACTACTTGAAGTCTCTCTTCACAATGAGCCCTCAATTCTCTGCTTGTCTGGGAGCCTAGAGCTCTGTTCTCAGCCTCAAGCTAGAGCGGTGGTTCTCAGCCTTCCTAATGCTGCGGCCCTTTAATACAGTTCCTCATGTGGTGGGGACCCCAACCATCACATTATTTTCATTGCTACTTCATAACTGTCATTTTGCTCCTGCTGTGAATTGTAATTTTTTTCCCTGTGTTTTCTGGTGGTCTTTAGGTGACTCCTGTGAAAGGGTCATTTGACACACACACCCCTACAAAGAGTCGCCACCTACGGGTTGGGAACCACCAGCCTAGAGGTTCCTTCAGAGGCCGGGAGGATGAGTGAAAAGATGCCAGTCAGAAGCCACAGTCATTCTGACCGAAGCTAAAAGGGCATCATCAGAAGGCAGGGGATGATGTTACAACCACAGTAGCCACCCAGGGAGAGCATCATGAGGCCCCAGCAATAGGACCCGTCTGAATCTCCCCTTCCCTTTCCTTGGGAGGATGGAATGTTGATGTATGGGAAGCAGAGGGCAGGTAAGTCCTGTGTTTACCTCAACATGGACTGCGGCCTGGGGCCTATGGCGCTGATTCACTTGGGTGAATCAGTCCGGTGAGTCCCCTGAGGCTGAAGGGGGCGGAGGAAGAGTCAGGCTGTAGCTGTGAGGTGGAAGGACAGTCACCAAAGCCTGGCACACGGAATGATGAAGACTCACACCCACCGAGACTGGAATCTGGGATGGGTTCATTACAAGAGCAGGCAGATCCCTGGTCATGAGGGCAGGGGTGAGTCAAGGACTAGACATTGGTTGATCTCTTGCTTCTTCCAGAGTAGGGACCCGAGAATGGCACCTGAGGGAGGTCTAAGTGGCCATGCTTGATGACCCCTTCTGGAGGGGGAAAGGATGCGCCGGGGGGTGGGGGGCAATAGAAATACAGCTATGCCATGAGCTGGGTGGAAAGGAACAAAGACCCATGGGGGAGCCACAGGGGAGGTGGAAGGGACCAGTGGAAGGAAAGAGGGAACCTCACTGACACCTCTCACATCAGAGCACACACACACACACACACACATACACACACACACACACACACACACTGCTTTGAGCATGAGCGATACAAAGCATGGATTCAGCAGAACCACTGTAGCAGGTAAGAGGTTTGCAGCGATCCCTTAAGCCATTTCCTGCTCAGTGACCACCGATTTCTCCCCCAGAGGACCCTGGGAATAGTGTGTAGCAGGCTGAGTTCCAGGAACAGGGCAGGGAATATGGAGCTCCAGGGGAAGCCTGTCTTAATTAGGGTTTCTACGGCTGCAATGCAACACCATGACCAAAAAGCAAGCTGGGGAGGAAAGGGTTTATTCAGTTGACACGTCGTCGTCGTCGTCGACATTGCTGTTCATCATTGATGGAAGTCAGGACAGGAACTCACACAGGGCAGGAACCTGGAGGCAGGAGCGGATGCAGAGGCCATGGAGGGGTGCTGCTTATTGGCTTGCTTCCCTTGGCTTGCTCGGCCTGCTTTCTTATAGAACCCAGGACCAGCAGCCCAGGGATGGCCCCACCCACCATGGGCTGGGCCCTCCCCTATTGATCACTAAATGAGAAAATCCCTTGCAGCATTTCCTCAACTGAGGCTCCCTCCTCTCTGATGACTCTAGCTTGTGTCAAGCTGACCCAGGGAACCAGCCCGTACAAAGCCTGATGCAGGTAAGACACCTGCAGGGGAAGCAAGTGAGCCCTGGCTGCATTCTGCAATGGCTCCCAGGCCCATTAGGGCACGTCCGTGAAAGCCTGAAGAGTCTGGGCAGTCAAGGAGGTCAGGCTAGCATTCCAGCCACTCCTGCAATGTGTCTACATGGAGCATGTGGCTGCCCGCCCCCCCTGAAGAAGAACTGTTGCTTGAGTTTTTCGCCTTGCCCACAGTCAGGACAAATCTCTGTCACCCGCCAGTCCCACAGCCGCTCAGACCCAACCAAGTAAACACAGA